ATAATAATAATAATAATAATAATAATAATAATAATACTCTTGCACAAGCCAGTCAAGGTGGTCCCAGTGGTGATCGGCACACTGGGAGCAGCACTTCAAGACCTTGGCCTGGACTTAAAAACAATCAGTGCTAACAAGATTACCACCTGTCAACTATATAATGATAATGATAATGATAATGATAATGATAATGATAATGATAATGATAATAATAATAATAATATAAAAATACTCTCGCAGAAGCCAGTCAAGGTGGTCCCAGTGGTGATTGGCACACTGGGCGCAGCGCCTCAAAACCTTGGCCTGGACTTAAAAACAATCGTCGCTGACAAAATCACTGCCTGTCAGCTGCAAAAGACCATCCGACTCGGATCTGCACGCATTATTTGCTGATACATCACACGGTCTGAAAAGTGTACGATGTGGGATCCAATACAACAGCCAGCAGAGTGACCTTGTTTGCTGTGTAGTAATCTTGTTGTGTATCTAACAACAACAACAACAATGATAGAATTGCAAAGATTCTGGCACAAGCCAGTCAAGAGGGTCCCAGTGGTGATCGGTACACTGGACGCAGTGCCTCAAGACCTTGGCCTGGACTTAAAAACAACTATATAATAATAATAATAATAATAATAATAATAATAATAATAATAATAAAACAACTATATAATAATAATATATTGTTTGCTGTGTCATACTGTGTTTTTGTGTCAGTAAAATAATAATAATAATAATAATAATAATAATAATAATAATAATAATAATAATATAATGAACCCAGATGGTTGGCTGGACTTTGCAGCCGAAATCATTGCAAGATATATAACCAGAGGCAGGAACCAAAGGTACAAATAGCCACATGCAACCACCAATTGCAGAAGAATCAACTGCACGAAAATCCGTTAACCCCGGGAGGAAATTTTCGCAAGTCCCATTTCGGATGTGGTTACAACACTTATTTGAAGCCAGGCATCGAATATATGTCCTTATATGTCCTATTATTATTATTATTATTAGTCTTGTGTTTAATTCTAATTTTTTTTAGTATGCTTTGGGTTTAAACTATTATAATAATACTTTCAAACAATAATAATAATAATAATAATAATAATAATAATAATAATAAACAGAACAATAATAGCAATAATGAAAACATAAATATAATTATAATATTAAATATAACATTTTTTTAAAATATACTTTGGGTTTTAATTGTATGGTTTTTTGTGTTGAGTCTCTATTGGGAAAGAGGAAGCAGAATGATGATGATAATATATATATATAAACAATAATAAATATAATAAAAGCCATATAAAATATAATACATAATAAATATAATAATGGGATAGTAATGTTCTGTCTCTGCTTGGTCTACCTTGCAGGGTGGTTGTGAGTACCTTGTATTGTTTTTAGCACAGACCCTTTGAGGACCCTTCCACATAGCCCTATATCCTAGAATATCAAAGCAGAAAATCCCACAATATCTGCTTTGAGCTGGGTTATCAAAGCAGATAATAGTATATTAATTAAATATTATAACAATATAATATATAATAATAAAATAATAAAACTAAATAATAATAATATACAAAAACAATATTATATGATAATAATAATATAAAAATAATACAACCATAATAATAATAATAATAATAATAATAATAATACAAACATAATAATATTAGTTGGGTTATCAAAGCAGATAATATTATAATAATTGAATATTATAACAATATAATATGATAATAATAAAACAATAACATTAAATAATAATAGTAATATACAAAAACAATAATAATATGATGATAATAATAATATAAAATAATACAACCATAATAATAATAATAATAATAATAATATACAAAAACAATAATAATATGATGATAATAATAATTTAAAAATAATAAAACCATAATAATAATAATATACAAAAACAATATTATATGATAATAATATAAAAATAATACAACCATAATAATAATAATAATATACAAAAACAATAATATTATAATATGACAATAATATAAAAATAATACAACCATAATAATAGTAATATACAAAAGCAATAATATAATATGATAATAATATTAAAATAATACAACCATAATAATAATATACAAAAACAATAATATTATATTATTATAATATAAATATAATACAACCATAATAATAATAAAATTAAATAATAATACAATAATAATAATATAATATAAAATTAATTAATTAATAAGAATAGGAATGTGCCTAAAAGTGATTATTTCCCAATACCCTACAGAATCAAAGTAGAAAATCCCACAATATCTGCTTTGAGTTGGATTATGAAAGCAGACAATATTATAATAATTAAATATTATAACAATATGATATATAATAATAAGAAAACTAAATAAAAATAATATACAAAATCAATGATATGATGATGATAATAATGATATAAAAATAATACAACTATAATAATAATATGCAAGAACAATAATAATATGATAATAATATAAAAATAATAATACAATAATAATAATAAAATTAAATAATAATAATACAATAAAATTAATAATAATAATAATAATCATGAAATCAAATCGCCTCGAGTCACCTCCGGGCTGAGAGGGGCGGTATACAAATATAGTAAATAAATAAATATAATATAATATTAATTAATTAATTAATAAGAATAGGAATGTGCCTAAAAGTGATTATTTCCCAATGTCAGCGTGCACTGAGAAGCCGTTTTTATTCAATGCTTATCGGAAACCATGGTGAGATCTTGCCAAACGTATCAACATCAGACCAACCGATGTGGATTGGGACACCTTTTCCATTGAAAAACCACAATCTGAAGATATGGCGACATGGGTTAAAGAAATGCCGCAAAGCCGCTTCCTTCTTTGCAAGGTACATCAAAGCAGTTCCCAAATGCATCTACACTGCACACTTAGCGCAGTTTGAGACCCCGGGGAAGGGGAAAGAAAGGAGCCTTCGGACCGGTTGCGAAAATAGACTTTAATGTAATAAATAAATTGGGGTTTTTTTTCCTGGTTTGGCTTCCATACAAATGCCCTGGGAGCAATGGGAATGGATATCTCTGTCCCCGACAAACATGCAAAGGGATCCGCCGGGAGACGTAGTCCTCTCGTAGAAAAAAGGAAATGGCAAACACATTTTTGTCCCCATATTTTAAGTGCTTGGCAGCTTGGAATCTCACATAAGGCAGGCTGGAGGCCCGGATCCGCTCCGGGTTTGAGTCCGAACTGGAACGAGACTGCGATTCCCTCTCTGAGGACCCAGCGTGGTTTCTACTGAATCCGTTCTGGGCTTTTAGTCCGAACTTTTAACTACTCCAAGGTCCAGAGTGGCTTTCCATGTTCAGTGGGACGCTGATTCCGCTCCGGGTTTCAGTCCGAACTTGAACGGAGCGAAGACCTCCTCGATGAGGCCCTGTTCAGTGAATCCACTCTAGGATTTTAGTCCGAACTTTAACGAGGCTATGATGCGACCCTACATGGCTTCTGGGTACAGAGCATCACCGAATCCACTCCAGATTTTAGTCTGAACTTTGAATATTGGTTTCCATTGAATCTGTTCTCGGTTTTAGTCCGAACTTTAAATATTGGTTTCCATGGAATCCGTTCTGGATTTTAGTCCAAATTTTAAATATTAGTTTTCATTTAATCCATTCTGGCTTTTAGTTTGAACTTTAAATAATAGTTTCCATGGAATCTGTTCTGGGTTTTAGTCTGAACTTTAAATAGTGGTTTCCATGGAATTCATTTTGGGTTTTGGTCCAAACACTAAGTATTAATTTCCATGGAATCCATTCTGGCTTTTAATCTGAACTTTGAATATTGGTTTCCATGCGATCTGCTCTGGATTTTAGTCCAAACTTTAAATATTGGTGTCCATGGAATCAAATCTGGGTTTTAGTCCGAACTTTGAATATTAGTTTCCATGGTATCTATCCTGGGTTTTAGTCCGAACTTTAAATATTAGTTTCCATAGAATCTGTTCTGGGTTTCAGTCTGAACTTTAAATATTAGTTTCCATGGTATCCATCCTGGGTTTTAGTCCGAACTTTAAATATTAGTTTCCATGGAATCTGTTCTGGGTTTTAGTCCGAACTTTTTAAAAGCTAAAATCCCCTTTATATGCTGCCTAGCAAGGCATCTAGGTCAGTTATTGGATTCACTTCGGGTTGTAGTCCAAAATTTAAGAAAGTTTGAATTACTCTTATGTGTCCCAGTGTGGCTTGTGTGTCAATCGCTGAAGCCACGCCAGGCTTTAGTCCGAATTTAAGGTCTGAATGGGTGCCACTCCTTCAAAGTTCAGACTAACACCCAAAACGCATCATGCAGAAGGGATCGGTGTGGGAACCATTGGGGCCGCCCCATGCGTTTGGCACAGTTTCTCATTGGGTGGAAACTATATTTTCCAAGTTTAGGATAAGTTCTGTCTTTAGTTCGGAAGGGATCCCAAGGCGGGGAGCCATTCTCCCATCCCCAGCCTCAAGGGGGGCCAGAAGACGAAGGCCCGCATTGGCGACATGGACTTCCTTGCAATGGCTTCCAATGGGCCTTGGGGGGCTCCTTCCAGTTCTGGGACCCTTTGGAGAGGAGAGGGGTCCCGTCCCATCACCTTCGGGGTCCACTCTTGGGGTTCGGAGCGGTGTGTCCACCTCCAAAGAGCCGCAAGGGGCTCCTTCGAGGTCACCACTCCTTCGAGGCACCACACTTTCCAGCTGCCGGAATGGAGGACCTCTCAGGAAAGCTGCTGGAGAATGAAAGGAAGGAAGGAAGGAAGGAAGGAAGGAAGGAAGGAAGGAAGGAAAGAAATGAAGGAAGGGAAGGGAGGAAGGAAGGAAAGAAGGAAGGAAAGGGAAAGGGAGGAGGAAGGAAAGAAAGGAAAGAGGGGGAAGGAAGAAGGAAGGAGAAGGAAGGAAGAAGGAGGAAGAGAAAGAGGGGGGGAGAAGGGAGAGAAGGAAGGATGGAAAGAAAAGAAATAAAGGAAAAAAGAAGAAAGAAAGAGAAAAGAAGGAAGGAAGGAAGGAAAAGAAAGGGAGGGAGAGAGAGAAAGAGAGAAAGAAAGAAAAAGAAAGAGAAAGAGGAAGGAAGGAAGGAAGGAAGGAAGGAAGGAAGGAGACAGAGAGGGAGGGAGGGAGAGAGGGAGGGAGAAGGAAGGAATGGAAAGAAACAAAGAAACAAAAAGAAAGAAAGAAAGAAAGAAAGAAAGAGAAAAGAAGGGAAGGAAGGAAAAGAAAGGGAGGGAGAGAGAGAAAGAAAGAAAGAAAGAAAGAAAGAAAGAAAGAAAGAAGAAAAGAAGAGAAGGAAGGAAGGAAGAGAAAGGAGAGAGGGGAGAAGGAAGGAAGGAGGAAAAAAAAGAAAAAAAAGGGAAGAAAGAAAGAAAGAAAGAAGAGAAAAGAAGGGAAGGAAGAAAGAAAGAAAGAGAGGAGAAGAAGGAAGGAAAGAACAGAGAAGGAAAGAGGAAGGGAGGAAGGAAGGAAAGAAGAAAGAAAAGAAAAGGGGAGAAGGAAGGAGGAAAGGAAAGAGAAAGAAAGAAAGAAAGAAAGAAAGAAAGAAAGAAGAGAAAAGGAGGAGGGAGGGAAAGAAGGGAAGAAGGACAGAGAGGGAGGGAGAAGGAAGGAAAGGAGGAAAAGAAAGAGAGAAGGAGAGAGAAAGGAAGGAAGAAGGAAGAAGGAAGGAAGGAAGGAAAAGAAAGAAAGAAAGAAGAAGAAAGAGAAAAGAGGAAGGAGAAAGAAGAGAAAGAGAAGGAAAGAGAGGAGGAAAGGGAGGGGAGGAGGAATGAAAGAAGAAAAGAGGAAGGAAGGAAAGGAAGGAAGGAAGGAAGAAGGAAGGAGAAAGTGAGAAGGAAAGAAAGAAGAGGAAAGTAAGGAGAGAAGTGGGCACACACAGTGCTTCGTGCTTTCTAGTGGGGAGAATAAGTGTTGCATGCATACCATCGCGATCTGCAAAGCCGTCAGGGGGTAGACACTGGGGTGCTTCCCGTGCTGTGTGATGTGATATAGAGGTATGTAGGTTAGTAACAAAAGGTATTTTTGTCGATATGGAGTGTGTGGTTGAGCAGAGAGGGGGGGATACCAGGCAAGAAAACAATGGGGTGAAAGCGGTTGTCGAGAAGGAAGTGTAAGAAGGAAGGAAGGCACCGTGTGTGGAGGAACATCTAAGAAGACAAGAAGAAGGAAGGAAAAGGACTAGGGAGGGAAGAAACACCCCAACCAAGGGAGGGAGAAGAGAAGAGGAGAAGGAGGAAGAAAAGAAAGAGGAGGAGGAGAGAAAGAAGGAGAAAGGAGGGAAGAAGGGAGGAAGAAGTAAGAAAGAAAAGAAAGAGAGAAGGAAGGAAAAGAGTGGAGAGAAGGAAAGAGAAAAGAAAGGGGAGGAAAGAAAGAGAGGGAGAAAGAAAGAACGAAAGAAAGAAAGAAAGAAAGAAAGAAAGAGGGAGGGAGAATAAGATAAAGGAAATAGATGCAAAGCAGATAAGATAAATAAAATCATAGAATTTGAAGAGACCACAAGGACCTCCTGGTCCTTCTGCCAGTCGGGGAGCCACAATCCAAACCCTCCCAACAGATGGCCACCTAGCCTCATCTTAGAAACCCCCAGAGAAGAACTCCAAGGCTTTGACCACCAGGAATGTCTCCTTAATCATCTTTTCCTGTCCTTTGAATGCCTGTCCTTTTCCTTACCTTTCCCTGCCGTCCAAGGGTCACTCCACCCGGGCACACTCCGTCCGACCCCACGGCCTCCAGGAAGTTGGAGGGCACCAGGCCCTTCTGGCCATTGATCTCGGCCTGCGGGAAGAGAAGAGAGCTGTGGCCTCAATGCCATCATGTGGGGACCCCCAAAGGCAGACCCACGGGCCACGCTCCCCACGGCTCGGGAAACAGCACGGGACTCACGTAATAGAAGCCGTCGTCATCCATCGAGCTCAAGACGGTCACAACGTCGCCCGCGCTGAACCTCAGCTCGGCCTGGAAGTCAAGAAGGAAAGGAAGAGGACATCGTGACAGTCTACTCAGACATCGATCTCTATCCAGATATAAGTCAAATTGGGCAGGTACGTAAGTGGGTAGGTACGTCTGTTTGCACCACAAAGGCTGAGCTGGGTGAAGTGGCCCTCTGGAAAGTTACTCAGGTGAAGTGGCCCTCTGCAACGTCACAAGGCACAAGTTGGAGGGGAAGGGAGGAAGGAAAGAAAAGCTGGCCCACCATTGCCAGAGTGTTCCCATTGAGACGTTGCGAGGTAGGCCCTTTCAGAGCTGGGGAAGGGAGAAAGTAGGATTTTTCTTTCTCAGAGCTGGGGAAGGGAGAAAGTGAGGCTCCTCCAAGCTGGAGAAGGAAGAATGTAGGTCTTCACAGAGCTGGAGAAGGCAGGTTTGTTCTCAGAGCTGGAGAAGGAAGAAAGCAGGCTTTCTCAAAGCTAAGGAGGTAGAAAGTAAACCTTTCCAGAGCTGGAAAAGGAAGAAAGGGAGGCTTCTCAGAGCTGGCGAAGGGAGAAAGTAGGTCTTCACAGAGCTGGAGAAAGCAGTCTTTCTCTCAGAGCTTAGGGAGAAAGTAGGGCTCAAAGCTGGGGAAAGGAGAAAGTAGGCTTTCCCAAAGCAAAGGGTATATAAAGTAGACTTTTCAGAGCTGGAAAAGGAAGAAAGGGAGGCTTCTCAGAGCTGGCGAAGGGAGAAAGTAGGTCACTGTGCTGGAGAAAGCAGTCTTTTTCTCAGAGCTGTGGAAGAAAGTAGGTTTCAGAGCTGGGGAAAGGAGAAAGTAGGCTTTCTCAAAGCTGGTAAGGGAAGAAAGTAGGCTTTTCAGAGGTGGAGAAGGGAGAAAGGAGATTTTCACAGAGTTGGAAAGTAAGGTTTTTTTCTCAGAGCTGGAAAAGGGAGAAAGTAGGCCTCAGAGCTGGGAAAAGGAGAAAGTAGGCTTCTCAAAGCTAGGCCTTTTCAGAACTGGAAAAGGAAGAAAGTGATGCTTGTCAGAACTGAGGAGGGGAGAAAGTGAGGCTTCTCCAAGCTGGAGAAGGAAGAATGTAGGTCTTCACAGAGCTGGAGAAGGCAGGTTTGTTCTCAGAGCTGGAGAAGGAAGAAAATAGGCTTTTTCAAATCTAAGGAGATAGAAAGTAGACCTTTCCAGAGCTGGAAAAGGAAGAGCTGGAGAAGGCAGGTTTATTCTCAGAGCTGGGGAAGGGAGAAAGTAGGCTTTCTCAAAGCTAAGGAGGTAGAAAGTAGACCTTTTCCAGAACTGGAAAAGGAAGAAAGGGAGGCTTCTCAGAGCTGGGGAAGGAAAAAAGTAGGTCGTCACAGAGCTGGAGAAAGCAGTCTTTTTCTCAGAGCTGTGGAAGAAAGTATGCCTCAGAGCTGGGGAAAGGAGAAAGTAGGCTTTCTCAAAGCTGGTAAGGGAAGAAAGTAGGCTTTTCAGAGGTGGAGAAGGGAGAAAGGAGATTTTCACAGAGTTGGAAAGTAAGGTTTTTTTCTCAGAGCTGGAAAAGGGAGAAAGTAGGCCTCAGAGCTGGGAAAAGGAGAAAGTAGGCTTCTCAAAGCTAGGCCTTTTCAGAGCTGGAAAAGAAAGAAAGTGATGCTTGTCAAAGGTGGGGAGGGGAGAAAGTAGGTCTTCGCACAGCTGGAGAAAGCAGTTTTTTCCCTCAGAGCTGGGGAAGTGACAAAGTAGGCCTCACAGCTGGGAAAGGAAAAAGTAGGCTTTCTCAAATCTGGTGAGGGGAGAAATTGGCCTTTTTCAAAGCTGGAGAAGGGAGAAAGCAGGTCTTTGCAGAGATGGAAAAGGCAGGTTTTTTTCCTCAGAGCTAGGGAAGGGAGAAAGCAGATTTTTCTCACAGCTGGAGAACTGAGAAAGTGAGACTTCTCAGAGCTGGGGAGGGGAGAAAGTGAGTCTTCGTGAAGCTGGAGAAGGCAGTTTTTTCTCAGAGCTGGAGAAAGGAGTGAGGCTTCTCAGAACTGGGGAAAGAAGAAGGCAGTTTTTTCTCAGAGCTGGAGAAAGGAGTGAGGCTTCTCAGAACTGGGGAAAGAAGAAAGTAGACTTTCTCAAAGCTGGTGAGGGGAGCTGGAGCTAGAGAAAGGAGAATGTAGGTCTTTGCAGAGCTGGAGAAAGGAGAAAGTAGGTCTTCACAGAGCTGGGGAAGCGAGAAAACAGGTTTTTCTCATAGCTGGAGAAGGGAGAAACTAAACCTTCTATGAGAAGGGAAAAGGGAGGCAGGATGCAGTCGCATGGATAATGTGAACCATGCAGGAATTTGCAACTAATCCACTCCTGAAGAGTGACAGAATCTCAGTATGGAAATAAATAAATAACTTCTCCAAACTTTGAAAAAAGCACCCTTTAATGTTCTACACAACTCAGCTGTGACCATATGAAGTGGGCACTCACCTCGGTATCCGGGTTGGGAGAATTTTCCTGGGGATTGTAGTCAAAGATGGCTACCATCATCCTTGGGACGTCCTCCTCCGAACTCAGATCCTGGATTTCATGGACCCCTGAAGAGAGAAAGAGAGAGGCACTGACCCCATTTCTTCCTCAAGGGATCCAGGTCTTCTTTGGCCCAAATAGAGACTCACCAAGACCAGGACCTTCGGTTCCTTGCTTCTTCCGTTCTGCTGTGGGGACAAAAGACATCATGAGAGGAAGATTTTGTCATGGAAATACTCAAAAGGTCATCAAAGAAGGGAAGGAGAGCAGCACTTGAAAGACTTTGAGGGACATCAACAGACCTTTCTTAGATCTCCGTGGCTTTGGAGGGTGAGCCCTTGGTGGCCGTCGTGGTGGAGAAAATGCACCATTGTCTGCGTGCAGGGGAAAAAGTAAATAAAACTTGTATTAGCCACCAGTCTTGTCCAGAAGGAGACAAATCCAAAGTCTACAAGCAATTTTGGGAGTCAATCATGGTTTTGGGGATGGTCAACCACCGCTGGTGTTGGATGTTGGATCTTGAAGCCCAGGAAGTTCAGCACTTCCAAGCTGGAGTTCTATAAAGTGTTAGAAGATCTAGATCCATGGACACGAAAGGTTGTCCTCCTGGCATTTGGGAAGACCAGCAGGTGGATCCATGGGTCTAGATCTTTCCAAGATCTCCAGAATTCCAACCTAGAGCTTCTCAGCTTTCCCTCATTCAAAATTTTTGGGGATGGTCAACCACAGCTGGTGTTGGATGTTGGATCTTGAAGCCCAGGAAGTTGAGAAGTTCCAAGCTGAAGCTCAAAATAGCATTTGAAGTTATAGACCCATGGATACAAAAGGTGATCCCTCCAGGTGTTTGGGAAGACTAGCATTTGGATCCATGGGTCCAAGATCTCCAGAATTCCAACCTAGAGCTTCTCAGCTTTGCCTCATCCAAAACATTTGGATCCATGGATCTAGAGATCTTTGCAAGCTCTCCAAAACTCCAACTTGGAACATTCCCAGATCTCTGTAACTTTGAACCTTTCAGCTTTGCATGCCTGGCTCTTGGAGTCCAAACCCAACACCATCTTGGCTTTCTAGGGATTTGAGGAGCTAACGCTGAAATGACTGGAGGATCATTCCACAGGATGATATTAATTTGATGGCTTTGGGATTTTTGGCTGCTTGAACAATCAGTAATCTGTGTTCAGAAGATCTAGGGACCTTCTACTGGATACTTTCAAGGGTAAAAAGAACCTTGAGAGTCAATTTCCAGGATTCAATAATTGACATTTGTCCTTGAAGAATTCTACTTCCTTGTTTTGATGAACATTTTGAGATGATTTGAGGGGCATCATGCCACATGACAGAGACCACTTGTGTTGTGTTGTCCATCATTTCATTATACAAGTTTGGCACCTTTGAAACAGAGTTGAAACTGGATCTAAACTGGATCTCCATAGTCAGATAATAGAGAAGAAAGGAAGTGTTCAACTAAAAGGATCACCTAGGTGTTCCACCAGCATGTCAGTGGAGATACGGCCATCTTGTAAGAGCTGCGTCCTGGCACTCTGGCTGTCGACTTGGACCTCAGAAACCATGTTGCATGGGATATACCCAATTCGGCCTGCACACTCCCCTCTGTAGAAGCCATCTGCATCCTTGTGGCCATAGACCTGAGGGAGAAAAGGAGAGCCTAACTGTCAAAATAAATGAGATGAACTTGAGCTCTTAACAAAGGAAGGCAACAATGGAGACCACATTACCCAAGACCTAGTTTGATTTTGGAGAACCTGACATCTTGGCAACAACTGGGTAGATCATAGATAAAAATATTGGATTTTGGAGCTCTGGAGCTCTTTCTTCCAAGTCCCAAATCTTACCTTCAAGATCTGGCCTTCCTGAAATGGGAGCTCCTCTTCTGCAGCATCAGAATTCGGAGACATTGAGACAGGGTCGTAGTCAAAGAGAGCCACGAATAGCCTCAGGGAGTCTTCCTCGTCCATCGTTTCAGGAGAGGAGCTCCTCCAAGAACCTGTCAGAGATGGAGAGGCTCAGAGTGTGTTTCCGCCTCTCTTCCTGACCAAACTGAGCCCTAAGAAAACAAAAACTCACCAGAAGGAGCCAATTCTTCTCGGCTTTTCCTCCGAGATCTTCTACCTCTTCTGGTTGGAGCCCGCCAAGATTTGGAATTCAACTGCTCCGTTTCGACGTCCCTGACCTCCTGAAAGAGGCATGAAATCAGTCACAATCCTCTCCACAATTTCGGCTTGAATTTTGTCTATGGTTGTGGAGGATCCCATGTCAGGGGGATAACAAACCCACTCCTGGTTTTAATCAGATCTCTCCAAAGTGATGAACTGTAGTCACCTTGGAGAAATCCATAAAAACCAAGGAAAATCCGGAACAAATTCGCCATCCCATTGACCTGGGAGTCACCAACTGACACCAGATTCCAGATCACCGCGAGAGGAACACACAAAGCAAAGCACCAAAGATGCAGCATTTCTCTTTATTCCAAAAGATTCTGGAACTTTCCACTCTCTATAAAGTTGAAAGTGGTCACTACATTGGGATAGGAGTCTCAAACTATGTTGCCCTTGAGGTTTTTATTAACAACGAGAATCCAATTCAAGAACTACAGTAGAGCCTCACATATCCGACATAAATGGGCAGGCAGAACGTCGGATAAACAAAAATGTTGGATAATACATTAGTCGTCCTACTGTTAGCTGTCGACGTGGTGTTAGACACCTAGAATACTAACAACAGCGACTCAAAGGATTAAAGCAAGGCAACACCCCGGGGCTAGAGGGCCCAGCAGGAAGTGCCCGGATGCGGAAGAGGAGCGTGGAAATCACAGAGGGAAGGCGGGAGGACACTTCCACTTTCACTCCTGCCTCTTTTCCCCCTTTCCTCCTTCCTCTTCCTCGACTTGCCTTTTTCACTCATTGGGAATGGAGAGAGAATTGAGAAGCACTCCTTTGGAGAAGAGCATTGGATAAGACAGAATGTCGGATAAGGGAAGGTTGGATAAGCGAGACTCTACTGTAATAAGAATAATAATGTTCGTTTATCCTGCTTTTGAGAAAGGAACTCAAAGCAGTGAACAATCCTACAAATCATACAAGAGGAATACTGCATTGGAAACATTCAGCCAACGACGACTGGCCGGCCACTGGAGCAAAACACGACAGAAGCGACAGAGAGCGTGCCACAAATGCGACAACTTTTTTTAATGCAACACAGCCACAGAGTGAAAGCTCTCCTTTGCCACACAGAAAAGATCGTATAGCGGAATGCAAGCGTGGGTGGCAAGCATGACCGGGGTTGCGGCAAGCGCGGAAGCACATCGGCGGCCCTAGCATCTCACGGACCCAATTTGGAGGAGGGTCTTTGTGTTCAGTCAGGGCTCTCCAGAGCGAGGGGCTCCTCTCTAGGCTACGGCTGCGCTCCTCTACGGCCGCTCCGGTTGTCTGCTTCCTCCACCGGGGAGAGTGTCCCGGAGACCCCTTCCGTGCCTCAGTCCGCTCGTCGGCGTCCCAACTGCTGCAGCGCTTCAATTCCTTTGGAGCGCTGGACGGGACAGATTCCGAGGAGTCACTCCATTCCTCCTCGCAGTCAGTGGGCGATCCGTCGGCCGAGCTCAAGTTGGTCACCAGAGTGGACATAATGGTAGGGTCCTCCTCGGAGTCGTATTCCACGTCAATCTCCAGACTTTCCGGACTCAAACAGAGCCTCCGGACGGGTTCTTGGGGCATCATGCGACGTCGGCGGACAGATTTCCAGCCACACATTTCGGACTCTGGCTCGAGGTTGGTGATCACATCCAGGTTCTCCTTCAAACTGTGGGCCCGATAAAGGCCTCCTCCAATCGTGCCACGGCTTCGATCCGGGCTGGCTTTCCACTCCCGTTTGCTTCGCGATTTGTCATTGCCGAACCCGGTGTGTTCTTCTCGGCACTCCCAGCTTAGCTCATCCTTCCTCATTCCGAATGTTTGCCCGTATCCGGAAAGACCACTGCACTTCTTCGGCCGAGACTTTATCCGTGTCTCCGTCTGATTGTTTGCTTTCTTGACAGGAGATGGCTCTCTGCGTGCCCAGTCTTCCTCCTCTTCTTCTTCCTCGGTGACCTCCGGGATGCTGAAGAGCGCTTTGCTGTGGTTTTTCGGCAATGGTGCCGCCTCCAGGATGCGTTCCAAGACTTCCTCGTCACTGTCGCCGTCAGAGTCGAACTACGGGGATCCAGCCCCGAAGAAGGGAAGGAAAGAGAAAGAGAGAGGAAAGAAGCATTAAAAGGGAGGAATGGCACCTACCGTCTCTCCTTCAAAGGCGTTGGAATGCTTGAAATCTCAAAAAGTACAGGTCACGAGTCGAGGAGATACAAGTAACTTCCCTATCATCTTTCTATCCTTTGTTGGGATGCCATCCTTGGCTTCTATTTCCTTCCCGATTCTTCTCCGAAAGGTCACGTTATTGTTTTCATCTCTTTCGACGAGGTCGCCACCGGTCTTCATAATGGCTTCATGTCTTCATTTGTGAAATCTCATTCTTACCTTTCATCATATGAATTCATGAAACCCGCCTCTCAGGGTCTTCTGTACAGTAAATCAGACTTTAGAAACTTCTGTAATTCCCACGCCGGGAAAAGATGACGTCGAGCATGCCCCCCCCCCCTAAAAAGGGATGGTAACTTATAGTTCTGCAAAGGACAAAGGTACCAGACTGCACAATAGGGGTTAAGTCTTGGTCAATTTGCCAAGGCCTTAACAACAATGAGGACCCCATGAAACTCCGGGAATAGCTAGACCTTGGGGTCTCTGCCTCTCTCAGGAGCTGCAGTTCTCCAAGGACGGGGAGCAAAGCTTGTTTCCAGAGACACCAGGTCCATTTGGGCCACTCAAGAACTCCTGCCAGGACCTTTGTGCAACACCCTTGCATTTTAGCCATCCCCTATGGACACTCTTTCCCCCCACATGGACAAACCTTATGAAATCTTGCCTTTTATGAACTTTAGATGTATGAAATGTGTTTTCTGATTTCTTTGTGTGGCAGAAGCCTTTCCCCTTTTCTTCTGACCTTTGTTTCCCCTATATACATGAAGAAACTCCACAAAAGGGACTACAAAGCCCCAAACATTCCAGGATTTTTTTTATCCACAACTTCCTTTTGCATGAACAATAGCCTGGGCAGCTGGTGGCCCTCGGAGGAATTGCCCAGCCCTCAGCTTGCCCCTTTGGCAAAAATCTTAATCATATTTCCTCCTGAAGGACAAAAGGTCCTCGAAAAATCTTTTGCCTTCGCTCTGATTAACTCAGCTATCTCCACCAAGAAACAATCACCCCAGTCTACACATGTTGATAGATCAGGCTGGCTTGAGATTTCCCCTTTGTCTCGCCGGCCACATGGCATTTCCTTTGTTCACTCCTTTCCCAGATTCCTTTGTGCTCCCTCATCCCGCCTCCATCTCTCCTGATTGGCTGTCGCCACCAGGTGGCAGAGGTCTCCCCATTGGTTCCTACGGACCACTGGAGCTTCCTGACTGGTCCAGAGGCACTGGGGGCAGGGAACAACAGGGAAGCCGGGGCGGGGAGTTTGAACTCTGCAACTCTGAATTTGCTATAAATATGCCTCTGATCAATGTATTGATATGCTTGTGGGTGAGCTATCCCCGCATTTGCATCCGACTCAGCTGAATCGCTCATTAAACCTCGATGCCTCTTCTTCGCCTTGGCAAGAGTCTCATTTCAATTATTAATATTAATAAAATTGCTGGAATCAGGCTTCTCTGACGGCTCGCCAAGGTCATAGACCCTCTTTGGTGCGGTCCTAGGGGTCTCTCTTACTGGGGAGACCCTCCTAAAGTCCGTATTGACTTCAACCAGGCAAGTTCACGGAGCATATATCATATATCATACACTGCAAAGGAAGAGGCAAGTGCCCAAATAGTCCCTGTCTTTTCTGAATTGGATCAGAAATGGCCTTTAATAGTAGGCGAAACGTCGGGATTTTGGAGTTTATCTATCTATTTGTTGTTGACTCGTTCAGTTGCTTCCGACTCTTCACGACCTCAAGGACAAGTCCAGGCCAGAGCTTCCTGTTGGTGGTCACCACCTCCAGCTCCTTCAAGGACAAGGCAGTCACTTCAAGGATAACATCTATCCATCTTGCTCTTCGTCGGCCCCTCTTCCGTTTTCCATCCATCTGGCTCTTCGTCGACCCCTCTTCCCTTTTCCTTCAATTTTTCCCAGCATCATTATCTTCTCCAAGCTTTCCTGTCTTCTCATTATTATCGTTAAAAATTAATAATATTACTAATAATATTGCAGTATAGTGGTATAGTACAATATAGTTATACATAATATAATGCTGTTATTGTGCTATGCTAATCATATAATATATTGTATGTACACATAATATTGATAATAATATTGTAATGTAATATAATATAATACTATTAATCTATATAAATAAAAATGTAATGTTCGTTTGTGGGATTAACAGAACTCAAAAACCACTGGATGAATTGACACCAAATTTGGACACAAGACACCTAACAACTCAATGTATGTCCTTCACTCAAAAAAAATCAATTTTGTCATTTGGGGGTTGTAGTTGCTGGGATTTATAGTTCACCTACAATCAAAGAGCATTCTGAACTCCACCAACGATGGAATCGAACCAGACTTGGCAAACAGATCTCCGATGACCAATAGAAAATACTGGAAGGGTTTGGTGGGCAGTGTCCTTTGGTTTTGGAGTTGTAGTTCACCTACATCCAGAGATCACTGTGGACTCAAACAATGATGGATCTGGACCAAACTCTACACAAATACTCAATATGACCAAATGTGAACACTGGTGGAGTTTGGGGAAAATAGAATCTTGACATTTGGGAGTTGTAGTTGCTGGGATTTGTAGTTCACCTACAATCACAGAGCATTCTGAACCCCACCAACGATAGAATTGGGCCAAACCTCCCACACAGAACCCCCATGACCACCAGAGTGGGCCACAGCAACGCGTGGCAGGGGATGGCTAGTATAATATATAAAACTTTATAACAATACCTTGTTGTATTATATAGTATTATATAATATAACAATAACAATATATTAAATATAATTACTACTGATAATATATGTATATATATGTGTGTGTGTGTATGTATATATAATTATTACTGATAATATATAGTAATATATAATGATGTACTGTGTTATGATAGCATATTAGTATATTTTAAGTTTTAATGTTTTTTTGAATTGTGAGCCACTTTGAGTCTCTGCCTGGAGGGATAATCAATCTATCAATCAATCAATAAAAATAAATGATGTCCCTCCCGCAAAGTTTCTGCAATATAATAATTTTTTCCCGTGTTTTGTTTTTACAACAGGATCAATTTGGAAAGGATAGTTTTTGATTACCCTGGGACAAAAATGGTGTTACTTAGTGTTACTGATTCATCATCGGGAGCTTCGGACATACCTTCTCTCCGTTTTCTCGATTGTGGGATTCGCTCGGTTTCCATTTGGGCCTATGAGACCCAGCACGGTCTTCCTCCTCCTCTTCCTCTTCCTCCTCCATAATGTCGGAAAGGTCGGAGCTGCGGGGATGATCCGTCAGCAGGTTCAGCTGCCGGTTCCCTGGATCGGACCTTTTCTCTCCTTGCTAGAGATATAGATAGTAAATATTAAATGGTGCCTGGAAGCACAGGAGTCTTAGTAGACCACAAACTGAGCATGAGCCATGAGTGTGATGCGGTGGTGCAAAAGGCCAATGCTATCCTAGCTGGAGGATAGTGCCTGGATTGGAATGTGTTGTAAGTCGGATCAGTTTCATATGATTCGTACTTACGATGCAATATCCAACACACAAAAATTAAGAAATCGAAACTGACCCCATACTTTTTCGTTTTAGTTTTGTAATTCTCAGAAGGCCCCCAAAGTCGCCTTCGTATTCAGTGCAAGGAAGCAAAGCTCGGAAAGCAAAGCCAAAAAGGCTGGCTTAGTGCCTGCCTTGCCCTTCCTCTGTAAATTAATGGTCTCTCGCCATTAGAAGAGGCCTGGAAAGGAGGGAGAAAGCAGTGTTTGCTGAGAACAACACAGAACTCTGGAAAATTTTGCCAGAGAATTCAAAAGGCCCTGCCCTGAACTACATTTCCCAGAATGCAGTGCACTGCTCAGCATCAGGAAAATTTGACCCTTCGTAGCCATTATTATTTATCCAGCAGCTAAATGAGAGTTTACTGTATTATTATTATTATTATTATTATTATTATTATTATTACTATTATTATTCTTTATCCAACATCTAAATGAGTCCATTGTATTATTATTATTATTATTATTATTATTATTATTATTACTTATCCAGCATCTAATTGAGATCTACTGTGTCTCCTGTATAATTGTAGTTGTCGTTGTAGTAGTATTAGTAGCAGTAGTAGTAGTAGTAGTAGTAGAAGTAGTTATATCATCATCATCAATCCAGCATCTAAATGAGAACCGGCTGTATTATTATTATTATTATTATTATTATTATTATTATTTATCCAGCATCTAAATGAGAGTCTCCTGTGTCTCCTGTATTGTTGTTGTTGTTGTTGTTGTTGTTATATCATCATCATCAATCTAGCATCTAAATGAGAACCGGCTGTATTATTATTATTATTATTATTATTTATCCAGCATCTAAATGAGAGTCTATGTGTCTCCTGTATTGTTGTTGTTGTTGTTGTTGTTGTTGTTATATCATCATCATCAGTCCAGCATCTAAATGAGAACCGGCTGTATTATTATTATTATTATTATTATTATTATTATTATTTATTCAGCATCTAAATGAGAGTCTCCTGTGTCTCCTGTATTATTGTTGTTGTTGTTGTTGTTAATCATCATCATCAATCCAGCATCTAAATGAGAACCTACTGTATTATTATTATTATTATTATTATTATTATTATTATTATCATTATCATCATAATCATCATCATTTATCCAGCATCTAAATGAGGGTCTCCTGTGTCTCCTGTATTGTTGTTGTTGTTGTTAATCATCATCATCAATCCAGCATCTAAATGAGAACCTACTGTATTATTATTATTATTATTATTATTATTATTATTATTATTATTATTTATTCAGCATCTAAATGAGAGTCTACTGTGTCTCCTGTATTGTGTTGTTGTTGTTGCTGTTGTTGTTGTTGTTGTTGTTATATCATCATCATCAATCCAGCATCTAAATGAGAGTCTGCTATGTCTCCTGTATTGTTGTTGTTGCTGTTAATCCAGCATCTAAATGAGAATCTACTCTATTATTATTATTATTACAGCATCTAAATGAGAGTCTATTGTATTATGATTATGATTACTATAATTATGATTACTGTCCAATATCTACAAATCAAAAGCAAATCAGGGCCAGTTAAGACAAGCTTAATGTGATATAGCTCTACTACATTGTAAAAGCAGCTTCGTGGGTGCAATGTGCAATTTAATCTACGCACTCTCCTCCCACTGATGCAGCCTAGAATCGTGCTGTTGGAAATTGTGGGAGTTGAAGTCCAAAATAGATGGAGAAAGGGCTGGAATTGGCCCAGGCCTGAGTTCGAGAATAAAACCTGGAGTGGACCGCTCGCCCAGCTGGCAAGGAGTCCCTTGGAGATGGGCTGGCATAACAAAACAGCGCCCCCTTTTGGATAAGGAAAACTCACCTCCCGCCGGGTCTTGGTGACCAACACTGTGGGCTCGTCCTTGGGGATGGCATCCTTTGAGAGCTTTGCCCGCCCCGAAATCCCAGGTTCGGGGGCCCGGCGGTCACTTGGAGTCCCACTTCCAGAGCTCGCCTCCTTCCTTTCTGCCGAGTCTTTTGGCTTTTCTCCCATCGAAACATCAGGGGCCCCACTGCCTCCAGAGATCTCCAAATCCCTCGCTTGGTGGGCTGATTCCTCCTGGGGAAGAAAGACCCTCTTATTGACTCGAATCTAACACTCGTCTTTTGGGGTGAAATAACCATGCCTTAAGTCACATTATGTCATCCTCTTACATTAGATATAGTTATCCAGTCTATATCAATCCCCATGAATGCAAAGCTTAACTGAGAGTATATTATTATTAGTAGTAGTAGGGGTAGTAGTAGTATTAATCCAGCATCTACTAATTCCTATGGGTGTTGGTTACATCATCATCATTATTATTATTATTATTTATCTGGCATCTACCAATCCCCATGAGTGCCAGTTAACTGAAAGTCTACATCACCATCATCATCATTATTTATTTGGCATCTATCAATCCCCATAGATGCTAGTTAACAGAGAGTTGAAATTATTATTATTATTATTATTATTATTATTTATCTGGCATCTACCAATCTTTATGGGTACTGGTTAAATGAGACTCTACATTATTATTATTATTATTATTCCTATTATTTGTCTGGTATCTAACAATCCCCATTGACTCCGGTTAACGGAGAGTCTATATTATTATTATTATTATTATTATTATTATTATTATTATTATTATTATTAATCAAGCATCTACCAATCCTCATGGGTACCGGTTAAATGAGAATCTACATTATTATTATTATTATTATTATTATTATTATTATTATTACTTATCAGGCATCTACCAATCCCCATGGGTGCCGGTTAATTGAGACTCTACTATATTATTATTATTATTATTATTATTATTATTATTATTCCTATTATTTATCTGGTATCTAACAATCCCCATTGACTCTGGTTAACTGAGAGTCTAAATTATTATTATTATTATTATTATTATTATTATTATTAATCAGGCATCTACCAATCCCCATGGGTGCCGGTTACCTAAGACTCTACATTATTATTATTATTATTATTATTATTATTATTATTATTACTTATCAGGCATCTACCAATCCCCATGGGTGCCGGTTAATTGAGACTCTACTATATTATTATTATTATTATTATTCCTATTATTTATCTGGTATCTAACAATCCCCATGGGTGCCGGTTAACTGAGACTCTACTGTATTATTATTATTATTATTATTATTATTATTATTATTATTTATCAGGCATCTACCAATCCCCATGGGTGCCAGTTAACTGAGACTCTACTTTATCATAATAATAATAATAATAATTATTATTATTATTATTCCTATTATTTATCTGGTATCTAACAGTCCCATGGGTGCCGGTTAAATGAGAATCTATTATTATTATTATTATTATTATTATTATTATTATTATTATTTATCAGGCATCTACCAATCCCCATGGGTGCTGGTTAAATGAGAATCTACATCATCATCATCATCATCATCATCATTATTTATATGGCATCTACCAATTCCCATGGGTGCCGGTTAACTGATATACTACATTATTATTATTATCAGTACTAGTAGTAGTAATACTATTATTATTATTATTATTATTATTATTATTATTATTTATCTGGCATCTACCAATCTCCATGGGTGCCGGTTAATTGAGAGTCATTATTATTATTATTATTATTATTATTATTATTATTATTATTAATCTGGCATCTAACTGAGAGTCTACTGTATTATTGTTATTTCCTTCTCACACAACTCATGAAATATGCTTTCAAATCTCTGGATGAACTCGGACTCAGGTTTTCCCGTTCAAAACTCACTGCCATACCCTTTTACAGACCAAATACATTCTTCAGCTGAGACCTGATTCTGTCCATTTCTGATCCCCAAAAAAGGATTGATACCCATCATGCCCACCTGGTGACCTTCTTCAGATTCCTTTCGGGTCATATTGCAACCTGGAGACACAACAAGGCCATCCCTTCCTGCTTCGGGCAGAGGGTCCATTCCTGGGGTTTCCGAATGCAATTTGTGGGTCACAATCAGAGCGGTCGGCTCGTTTTGGGATGTCTCTCCAAAGGAAGAGACGCCAAGTTTCTCGCTCTCGTTAGGCTTCGATTCGGCCACTGGACTGATGGGATCTCGCCCACAAGAAATCTGCGAAGAGAAGCAACTCGGTTCCGGAAGCAGAGAGGGACCGCTGGGATCCTTCAGCAAAGCCGAGGGGATCTGAGCCGGCACCGAATCCGATGACTCCCCGTAGAGGGACACGGTTCTCACGGAGACTTCTCGGCACATTTGGAGCATCTGCAGCTGGGAAATGTCTGCCAAAACACTGCCAGCGGTTGGGGAAGTCACTTCCATCACCTGAAACAAAGTGAGCAAGGGAGAGGAATCTGAAACTGGCAGATCCTGTTCACCAGGGCAGCGAATCCATTTCAGGTTTTCTCGAGCTTTCGAGGAGCTCTCCAAGGTGCTGAAATAGTGTGAGAAGTGAGTCCGTCACCTTGGAGAGCGCCCGTTTATTTATATACAGAATGTATACCCCACTCTTCTCACCCTGAAGGGGACTCAGAGCGGCTTTACAGAACACACAATTTTCCACAATTTCCATGAAATTAAATTAAAATCTGGGGTGGGCTGATTGGAGATAACCACAAAGCATAATTGTATTGTTGTTTATGTTGTTGTTGTTAATAGTGTTGCTGTGGACCAGTCTGTGTATATGTGTTTTGTGTGAGTATGTATGTGTATATATATGGTTCTGCGCATGCGTTGTAATGTATTATTTATTTTTTGGCTTTTGAAGTCTCTTCTGCTGTGTTTTTCAATGTTTTTATGAGTGATGGTAACTCGTTGGCCTGATAGGTGTGTTGTGTCCAAATTTGGTGTCAATTCGTCCAGTGGTTTTTGAGTTATGTTAATCCCCCAAAATGACCGTACCTCATGAAATCTGATCTGGCCATGGTGGTCCATGCCTTAGTCATGTCCAGACTGGATTACTGTACTGCACTCTACATGGGGCTGCCCTTGAAGACGGCGCAGAAATTTCAATTGGTCCAACGGGTGGCAGCCAGGTTACTACCTGGAGCAACTTATAGGGAGTGGTCTATCCCCCTGTTTAAGGTGCTCCATTGGCTGCCGTTCATTTTCCAGTCCCAATTCAAGGTTCAGGTTCTTACCTGCAAAGCCCTGAACGGTTTGGAACCCGCCTACCTGCATGACCGCATTTCTGTGTACGAACCCACACGATCTCTTCGATCATCTGGAGAGGCCCTGCTCTCGCTCCCAACCCCTTCGCAGGCATGATTGGTAGGGACAAGTGAGAGGGCCTTCTCTGTGGTGACCCCACAACTCTGGAACTCACTCTCCAAGGATATCAGACAAGCCCCCTGTGGTGGTGTGAATTTTAATCTACAGTTATGTATAATTATAGATAGGTGTTTAAAAGGGTAAGTATATAGAATAGCATAACTGGGGGAATAGTAGTCAGCTTAGCTCACTCTGAGCTGGGTTGCCATGGAAAAAGGGGTGGAGCCAACTTCCACTTGGCAGGGCAGCCATTTTAAAACGGTTTGTCTGTAGTCAGCGAACTACAGGAAAGGCTGGTTCTGTTGTGTTGAGAACCAGTAAGGTAGTCTGTAGTCTAAGAACTACAGGGAAAGGCTGATTCTACTGTGTTGAGAATCAGGAAGGTTTTGGATTTTAGCCTGTGTAGTTTAGATAGGTTGAGTTGACTTATTTATATTAATAGTCAGTGTATGAGCAAAAGGGGGAGAGAACCCTAATAAGAATCTTTACTGCAACAGAAATAACAAAAGGAAAGAATAAGCTTGTACCGGAAGTAATCTGTTAAAGAAAGAAACACATTTTGAAGGAAAATAAGTATGAAACCTGTTTAGTGGAAGGAATAGTCTTCTTAAGAGTTATTTTATGAAATGTTATAATTTTTTTTTGTCGTGTCAGGAGTTGCTCCTGTTGTGAGAGAATTGGCCGTCTGCAAGGATGTTGCCCAGGGGACGCCCAGATGATTTGATGTTTTTATCACCCTTGTGGGAGGCTTCTCTTATGTCCCCTCATGAGGAGCTGGAGCTGATAGAGGGAGCTCATCCGCCTCTCCCTAGGTTCGAACCTGCGACCTGTCGGTCCTCAATCCTGCCAGCACAGGGCTTTAACCCACTGCACCACCGGGGGCTCAATGTTATAAATGTAACCTCTGAAGATATGTGCCTCTAAGAGTTAAGAAACATTGAAACCATCAAGCTTCTTCTATACTTCAATAAACTTGTTACAGTTTCTTCTAAAGCCAAGTCTCTGTTACAAATGCTTTCAAGTTAAGCTAGGCTACACATTGAAGAAAGACCAATTCAATATTACAAGCTATTAGTTGTGTTATCAATTTAGTAAGTCCTTACAAAATGGTGGCTCCTTTACAAACTGTTACAAATTGGTGACATCGTTACAAATTGGGTGCCTCCTTTACACCCCCACATTGGCAGTCTTTAGGAGGAGCCTCAAAACATGGCTGTTCCAGTGTGCCTTCCCTGAATAAAGGAAATAATGCCCTGCTCTGATCAGTTCCCTGCAAAATGTCCTCAGAAGTACTTTAACTACCCTTTGGGTTGGTCTCCCTACATTATCTTTTAAAAACCCTCCTGCTTAGATACATCCTACCTCTGTTCATGCCCAGTGTTTATTTTTTAAAAAATTAATCTATTACATTAATTCTACTATTTTATTTGTTGTTTACTGATGTGTTGTTGGGCTTGGCCTCATGTAAGCCGCCATGATTCCCCTTGGTTATCATTATTTATTATTTTATTATTATTTATTATAAATAGATTTGCTTAAGGTGCCTTTGGCCCTTTCTTCTATGTTTTTTATCAATAAACTTTTTATTACCACGTCTTGTTTCCTGGTGAGTGCTTTGAACAAGGTGAACTCCTACTGAGGTGCAACATCCTAATGGCTCTTTGTCATAGAGAATGGAGAAACAGCACCCCCCAGTGGCTGGATTCAAGCACAACCTCGAAGGTGCCAAAAAGCTGGATGTTGACACAACATACCTCCTTTCTGTTCTGTTTGTCTCTGTCCTGTCTGTCCAAAACGGCACTGAATGTTTGCTGTGTATGTGTACTCTGATTCACCCTAAGTCCTCTTGGGGAGATAGGGCGGAATATAAATAAAGTATTATTACTATTATTATTATTATTGACACAAAAGCACAGTATGTCACAGCAAACAAGATCTATATGCTGGATTTCGTATCACAAAATCACAAGTCGAACACTTCCCAAGCGTCTAGGACTGTGTGATATTATTATTATTATTATTATTATTATTATTATTATTACTGTGTTGCATAGTGCTATGAATGCTGCTTTTCCCATATTGAAATGTAGTCAGTCTCATTTGGAAAAACAAGGTGAAAATGGGAAAGAAAAGTGTCTGATTGAAAACGGCACATGGTTTCAAAGGAATTGCAACCAGAGGGAGAACGTGACAGGTTTCAAAGCCAAGGAAGCTACCTTCTGTCCGTCGGCATAAAGGGCGTACCCGGTGACCCGGACCCCGTTGGATGACCCTTCGGCATCGATAGTGACTGGCAACCAACTGATGACCAGAATGCCAGGACTGGGTCCGGGTTCGACTCGGACGTCGAGCGGAGCATCCGGAGAACCTGAGGAAAGAAGTCAAAGTTGTCAACATGTTATGGTTTCTGGTGTGAAAACCGCTTATAGTTTAAACTGTATGGTTTCAGAAATGTGTAGAATTCAGAGATGTGTAGAATTGGTAGAGTGCCACTGTGCAGATTGGAAAAGAAGGTTGCAATATGTGCTCCACACAGTGTGCTAAGATGACATGAGCGGAGGATGTGGTGTACATGTGCCTTCAAGAAGTTCCTTGCAAGGTCAAAGCAGCTGAGATAAGAACAGTGATTTATCTCAACTTTGCTCATTTGTTGAGGCCCAGTCCCCTAATATCTCTAGTGACTTTGATTTCCCAATCAGAAACTAGAAACGAGGAGATAAAAAAAATACAATAGTTGAATTTTCAGAAAATAAATACTAAGGGGTGGCTACACATTGCCATGACACTTGACTGTCATGCCAGAGCCATTCCATGAAGTGCCTGAAAGCAGGGGCGCTTTGGTATTTTTGTTTTTAGGCCTGTTCCTGGGGTTGTTTGGGGTGCTGATTCAGAAAATTGCATTGGATAGACCACACCAGCTCTAGATTATTCGGTAAAGTTTTTTTTTCTGTATGAGCAGATGGTAACTACTGAATGGCATATGTTCTGTATCAGAAACTAGAGCTGATGTGGTCTATCCAATGCAATCTTCTGAATCAGCACTCCAAATAACCAAACCAAATCTTAAGTTGACCAAAAACTGATTCGTAACCCTTTTAGTTCTAATGTTGGAGTGTGGTCCCTGGTTAAAGTGGTCCCTGGTCAACGTGGTCACTGGCCAATGTGGTCCCTGGTCAAGTGGTCCCTGGTCAATGTGGTCCCTTGTCAACATGGGCCCTCACCAAATGGTCCCTGTTCAAGTGGTCCCTGATCAAAGTGGTCCCTGGTCAACGTGGTTGCTGGTCAACGTGGTCTCTGATCAAGTGGTTCCTGGACAAGTGGTCCCTGATATATGTATATCAAAGTATCCTAGAGTCTAGTGTTGGAAGAGACTCCAAGGGCCATCCAGTCCAACCTCTATGTATGTATGTATGTATGTATGTATGTATATATGTATATCATAGTATCCTAGAGTTCTAGAGTTGGAAGAGACTCCAAGGGCCATCCAGTCCAACCTCTATGTATGTATGTGTGTGTGTATGTATGTATGTATGTATGTATGTATGTATGTATGTATATCAAAGTATCCTAGAGTTGGAAGAGGCTCCAAGGGCCATCCAGTCCAACCTCCATGTATGTATGTATGTATGTATGTATGTATGTATGTATGTATGTATATCGAAGTGTCCTAGAGTCCTAGTGTTGGAAGAGACTCCAAGGGCCATCCAGTCCAACCTGTATGTATGTATGTATGTATGTATGTATGTATGTATGTATGTATATCAAAGTATCCTAGAGTCCTACAGTTGGAAGAGACCCCAAGAATCATCCAGACCAACCTCTCTCTCTGTGTGTGTATCACAGTATCCTAGAGTCCTAGAGTTGGAAGAGACTCCAAGGGCCATCCAGTCCAACCCCCTTCTGCCAAACATGAAGACACCACCCAAACCCTCCTGACAGATGGCCATCCAACCTCTGCTTCAATACCTCCAGAGAAGAAGACTCCACACTCCCGGGAGTCCCCTTTCCACTCTGAGGTTCAAAGACTTACCTGCCAAAGCAGTTGTGAAGTGGATTTCAGCGGAAAACAACTCTTGGTCCTGTCTCTCCTGTCCAGACTCCCAGAAGGTCCACTGGGGCTGGACCTCCACTGTAGCTGCGTAGGATGTGTTTGGCTTCAAAGAACGGAAGGTGTACCAATAGACCCCTGGTTTGGTCACGCCATGTTCCTCCCCATTGAGGTATACAACGTGGGAGAAGTTACTATTGCTGGGGGCCCAGGAGAGTTCGACAGAGGTGGCCTCCACGTTCCGCACCAAGAGGTCAATGGGAGCCAATGGAAAGTTCTTCCCAACCAAGAAGGTGCACCGAAAGCAGTCAGAGGTCCCTTTCTCAGAAACACTTTGGACTGAGATGCGGTAGGCTTTGGTCCTCAAGTCCAGCTTCTCCAAAACGGCCTTCGTCTGACCTCCTGCCTTCACATTTTGCCGGAGTTCAGTGTCCACAAAGACCTGGTAGCTCTGGACTTCAGGGCACCCAGCAGATGGGAAAGGAGGGTCCCAACCCACCACCAAGCCGGAGCCGAACTCTCGGATGAGGGTCACCTTCCTGGGGTAAGGCACTTCTGGGTTTGGGGTCTCTCTATCCTTGGGGTCCCCTTCCAACCTCAACGGGACAGTATTGGGATCATCTGTCGAGGGATCACTCCGCTCACCGCTGCTCAAGAAGCTCCGGTCTAAAGGTGAGCTTTGAGAGAGATCGCTGAACTCACCAGGCAAGAAAGTCACCAAGTCATCGTCGGACACCCGCTCCACAAAGTTGGATGGGACCAGGCCTCGGCGACCATCCATCAGCTCCCCTGAATGTAAAAAGCATGGGAAGAACATTAAACGGAGACAAGAGGGCTTCTTTGTCTCCATTAGACACAGCGGTGGGTTGGTACTCCCATGTCAGAAGGGCAGTGAGTCTGTTCCAGGTTTTGGCTGGATTTAATGGAGCTCACCAAGGAAACCAACCTATATATCCTCTGTGTGTGTGTAATAATTCTCTTAGGAACATGGCCCAGTCCTTTCAAACCAGGTTCAGTCCTTGGAGAACTCCTTTAGGACCAGGTTAAATCCTTAGAGAACTCCTTTAGGACCAGGTTCATTCCTTGGAGAACTTGTTCAGTCTTTGGAAAACTTCTTTAGGACCAAGTTTGTTCCTTGAGGAACTCATTCAGTCCTTGGAGAACTTCCTTATGACCAGATTTGCTCTTTGGAGAACTCCTTTAGAACCAGGTTTAGTCCGTGGAGAACTCATTCAGTCCTTGGAGAACTTCTTTAGGACCAAATTCAGTCCCTGAAGAACACCTTTAGGACCTGGTTCATTCCTTGGGGAGCTCAATCAGTCCTTGGAGAACTTCCTTAGGACCAAGTTCCGTCCTTTGAGAACTCCTTTAGGACCTGGTTCATTACCTGGAGAACTTGTTAAGTCTTTGGAGAATTTATTCAGTCCTTGGAGAACTCCTTTAGGGCCTGGTTCATTACCTGGAGAACTTGTTCAGCCTTTGGAAAACTCTTTTAGGACCAAGTTTGTTCCTTGGGGAACTCATTCAGACCTTGGAGATCTCCCTTATGACTAGGTTTGGTCTTTGGAAAACTCTTTTAGGACTAGGTTCAGTCCTTGGAGAACCTGTTCAGTCCTTGGAGAACTCCTTTAGGACCTGGTTCATTGCTTGGAGAACTTATTTGGTCTTTGGAGAACTCCCTTATGACCAGGTTTGGTCCTTAGAGAACTCCTTTAGGACCAGGTTCATTCCTTGGAGAACTCATTCATTCCTTGGAGAACTTATTTGGTATTTGGAGAACTCCTTTATGACCAGGTTTGGTCCTTGGAGAACTCCTTTGGGTCCAGGTTCAGTCCTTGGAGAACTCCTTTAGGACCTGGTTCATTCCTTGGAGAACTCATTCGGCCTCTGGAGAACTCCCTTATGACCAGGTTTGGTCCTTGGAGAACTCCTTTGGGTCCAAGGTAAGGTTCAATAACTCATTCAGTCCTTGGAAAAGTCCCCAAGGACCACATTCAGTTCTTGGAGAGGAGTGTTTGGCCCTTAGAGAACTCCTTTAGAGTTCAGTACCTTGAAGCCCTTCTTAATACCTGGTTTAAGAAGCCTGGAGTAGCTTCACTGCCCCACTGACATGGAAGTCATGAAAGCCCCGCTGGTCGCACACAGCTCAACAATAAATATACCTTCAAAGAAGCCGTCATCGTCCATTTCTCCGTAGACGTAAATGTACTCTCCAGCTGTCAAGGGGAGTTCTGCTTCAGGGTTTTCATTGGGACCATCAAAAGGGTTGTAGCTGGAAAGGGGGCAAGGAAAATCATATGAACCCAAGGTGTCAGGAAATAATGGAGAAAGGGATGGGAAGAGAAAGAGTTTGAAGTCCACTGACCTGTATCGAGCGAGGAAGACATGGAGCTTCCCTACCCGGTGGCTCTCAGAATCCGGAATTAGAGAGACACTGTCGATATCCAGCTCTTCCATCTCGCTGGCTGTGTCCACCTTCAAGAAGGCAGAGAAAACATACTTTTATTATCATTGAGTGATTGTTTTTGAGTACAGGCCAAGGTCTTGAGGCACTGCACCCAGTGTGCCGATCACCACTGGGACCACCTTTACTGGCTTATGCCAGAGTCTTTGTAGTTCGATCTTATTATTACTATTATTATTATTATTATTATTATTATTATTTTATTATTATTATTATTATTATTTCCTAGGGAGCTATAATATGACATCAAGAACCCACCTCTGGAGTCGGGCAGGATTTTGGACTGGTGGTGGGAATGGATTCGGACCGCGATGAACTGGATTGGGATTCCACTTTCTTGGAGGGCTTGCGGTTGGTGACGGGAAGGATGAGCATGTCTGGACTCCTAGCCACAACGCAACCAATGGGATGTTCGGGGAGCCATAGTCCAGGTGGAGGAGCTTCTTCCACGTCCTCGGATTGTATTTTCTGCCCGAATCGGGAAGAAGAGCCAGAGAGAAGCACTCGATCTGAAACCAAACATGACACATTAGGCACAGTTTTCACATTATTATTATTATTATTATTATTATTATTATTATTATTATTATTACTATTACTATTACTATTATTATCATTATTATTAACTTAGTCTCAGTAGACACTCAACTACACGATACGTGTGAGAATTGGTCAATATCAGATAAATATAGTTTTTGGGTTGCTTGAGAGTTGATATTAAAAATAGACCATTATTATTATTATTATTATTATTATTATTATTTCTACCTGTCCAAAGCTTGAAGCAGTTGACAACACAACATTAAAACGTAACATAGAGCAGTATCTCCTGTTTATAACACATACATTAAAAAATGCAAGCAAGCATACTGCTGCCACTTTGTAGTATTAGTAGTAGTAATAGTAGTAGTAGTAGTAGCAGCAGCAGCAGCAGTATTTTTTATTTCTTACCCATCTCTCCTCAAGACATAAGATGGGAGTCCAACAGAGAATTAAAATACAATAGATAACTATCATCTACTGTTTAATACACAGAGATCTACTGATTATCTGCCCTATTTGTGGACCATTGAATCCATTGCATTGAATCCCTATGAGCTCTCCATGGTGCTGAAACCCATTAGGCCTTATGTTCAGGACCAAGGAGAGCTCCTTTAGACCTCACCCTCCAGAGTGGATTTGTGGGAGTCTTTATTCGTCTTCTTCCCAATGCTACTCACCTTTCTCCTTGACGGCATTATCTGGGTGTTGTGTTGGGGAAGGAGATGGAGAGCAAGAGGCCAAGGTGACCTCCGACATCACCATGGTGGTCGAGGGAGAGGAAGCGTGTGGCGGGTGCCCAATTTTCCCCGTCTGGAACCGGAATCGCTTGAGCTCCTGGCACAGGAAGTTGAACTGCTCGGTGTGGTTCCGGCATTGGTTCTCGAGCTCTTGAACCCGGGCCTGGATTAGGAGGGGAAGGCAGTGGGTGCAGACTGAGGACCAGTTAGGAACGTAAGGAGAGGCTCAGACTGACCCAACTGACGTTGATCCATCTACAACAGGAGTAGGAAAAATGTGGCCCATAGACCATATCCTCTCCATAGGCACAAATGGGATTCCATATCTCCATCTATCTACTCTATAAGCATGAATGGGACTCCGTGTCTCCATCTTCTCTATAGGCATGAATGGGACTCCGTATCTCCATCTTCTCTATAGGCATGAATGGGACTCCATATCTCCATCTATCTTCTCTACAAGCATGAATGGGACTCCATATCTCGATCTTCTCTGAAAGCATGAATGGACCTCTTGAATAAATTGCTAAACTTGAAGCCCATCTATATGTTAGTGGGTCTATTCTAAGTTGATACAATGGGTCTATTCTAAGGAAGCTGTATACTTTGGGAGGTGACCAATGGATCATATATGGTCCCCAAGACACTTGAAGGACCTCTAAGAACGAGTTCCTATGGGTTAGCTATAGCTGGAGTAAATATTTTGAATAAATTGTTAGATGAGAAGCCCATTATAGGTCAATGGGTCTACTCTACATAGATACAATGGATCTACTCTAAGGAGGGGATACACTTGGCGAGGTAGGCACACTGTTTCTACGAAGCACAGAAGAAGTCAAGATCCAAGGGCATACTTTGGATCACCAACGCAAACATAATTAGGACTTCTTCCCTTTCCCTTCCCTTTACTACACACCAAAGGGCACCAGATTGTGTCTAATCTAAGCAGGATCTGCCCTGGTTAGTCTTTGGATGGAAAACCACCAAAAATACCAGGTGCTGGAAGCTCTGTTTCAGAGGAAGGAATGCCTAAGGAAATCCTCTGAAATCCATTGGGTCACCACAAGTCAACAGGTCACTTGAAGGGGCATTTATGCACAGAGAGATGGGAAATGAATGAGATGAACTTAATCTCTTAATGCAAGAAGGCAGAGATAGCCATCTCATTGCCATAGGTATCCTAAAGGCAACAGATGGTGCAGGAAGGGGAACAATTGGGGGAAATGGGTAGTACCTGCATACAATCCAAGGAGCCCTGTTAGGAAACAAAACGGGGGTCAAGGAGCAGAGTAAAGAGGACACCAACACTTCTACATCTCTCTAAACTTGAAAACCACCACTGTGATTCAAACAACAACAATAACAACCAAAGGTAATTGCCTACCATTCTGGATTGCGCCACTGCTACAACTACTATGCCTGCTAGGGCAACCATTACATCATCTTGAAGCTCAAGATGGTTTATAAAAGGTGCAGATGCCACAGTGAGAAGAAAGCGCTCACCTCGAGTAGTTGTACGGCTCCCTCGTGCTCCTTCCGGGCCTCGACTTGAGCCTGAAAGACAGAACCAACAGTGAGACAAAGCGGAGTAGCTTCTGGTGACCCCCCCCCCATACCCCACCTTTGTAGAATGTTCCTCTCACCTGCTGAAGCTCCTTGACCTCTTCTTTCTTCTTCTGCAAAGCCAGCAAGGCTTTCTCGTGGTCATGTTCCAGCTGTTGCCTCCGTTCTGCGACATCTCTCATGTGCTACGAAAGGAAAAAACAAAGGATTCTAGATGTTGAAGAACCCCCAAAATTCCTTTCTGAAGCTCCGTTTTCTGGAGGGGTTGGGGGAGGGATTCTGGGAGTTGTAGTCCTGAAATGCTAGCAAGAGTGACCTTCTTGGCATGACCTTCCTGCCTTGAGGTGTCCCAATCCTGACCCACCTGGAGCGCTTGCCCAAGACTCTCCAGCCTGTGTTCAAGTTCTTGGGTTTTCTGGAGAGCCGAATCCCGTTCCTCGGTCACTTCTGACACCCGGAGCCTCAGGTCGGCATTTTCGGACTCAACCTGGGACAAGAAAAAGCCATTCAATTTGGATTGAGCTTCCGGGTGATATGATGAAATGTTGTATTTATCTGGAATTGTGTATCCAATCCTGTTCATTAACATATGCAAACATTATGCAAATATATACCCTTTTAAAGTCTCCATCCTCCAAAAACAGATTCCTATGAGTTACTTCTAGGAAGAGTAGACCTATTGAGTAAACTGCTTGATGGGAAGTCTGTCTATAGGTCAATGAGTCTTCTCTAAGGAAGGGGTACACCGCCCATGGACCATGAATAGTCCCCAAAACCTTTGAAGGACCTCTAAATGGGTTCCTATGGCTTAGATCTCGCTAGAGTAGCCCTCTTGGATAGGTTGCTAGGTGGGATATCCACCTATAGGTTAATGGGTGTATTCTAAGTTAATGCAATGGCTCTACTCTAGGGAAGAGATATACTGGTTATCCATGAACCATGTATGGTCCCCAAGCCATTTGAAGAACCTCTAAGAATGGGTTCCTATGACTTACTTCTAGCTAGAGTAAATCTCTTGAATAAATTGTTAGGTGTGAAGTCCATCTATAGGTCAATGGTTCTACTCTAAGAAAGGGATGCACTTAAGAAGTTGTCCCACGGACCATATATGTTCCCCAAGGCATTCAAAGAACAGGTTCCTGTGGGATAGATCTAGCTAGAGTAGATCTCTTGAATAAATTGTTAGATAAGAAGTCCATTATAGGCCTACAAATATACAATGGGTCTACTCTAAGAAGGGGGCACACCAGAAGGCTCCAAGAGCTTCCAGCACCTGGTATTTTTGGTGGTTTTCCATCAAAGGACTAACCAAGGCATCAAATAAGCATATGCAAACATTATGCAAATGTTGCCCTTTTATGGTCTCTGTCCTTCTCTCTAGACTTGAATATTCTTGCGTTAAGAGATTAGGTGCATCTCATTTATTTCCTATCCGTCTGTGCATAAATGCCCTTTCAAGTGACCTTGCTGCATTTCAGAGGATTTCCTTAGGCATCCCTTCCTCTGAAGTAGCGCTTCCAGCACCTGATATTTTTTGTGAGTTTCCATCCAAGGACTAACCAAGGCAACAGATTAGCACATGCAAACATTATGCAAATGTTGCCCTTTTAGAATCTTCATCCTTCTTTCTAGACTTGAATAGTCTTATGTTAAGGGATTAAGTTCATCTCATTCATTTCCCATCCCTCTGTTCATAAATGCCCATTCAAGTGACCTGTTGACTTATGATGACCCAATGGACTTCAGAGGATTTCCTTAGGCATTCCTTCCTCCAAAATAGAGCTTCCAGCACCTGGTATGTTTGGTGGGTTTCCATCCAAGGACTAACCAGGGCAACACATTAACATATGCAAACATTATGCAAATATTGCCCTTTTAGAGTCACTGTCCTTCTCTCTAGACTTGAATAGTCTTGTGTTAAGAGATAAAGTTCATCTCATTCATTTCCCATCCCTCAGTTCATAAATAGTTTACATCTGGCCCGGCCATAGCTTTTTAAATATTTGCATGTTATTGTCTATATGTGAATTATATGAGTGTATTGTTTTATTTGCTTATTGCTTCGCTGTTTTTACTGATGTGTTGTTGGGCTTGACCTCATTTAAGCTGCCCCGAGTCCCCTTGGGGAGATGGTGGTGGGGTATAGATAAAGTTATTATTATTATTATTATTATTATTATTATTATTATTATTAATAATAATAATAATAATTATAATTATAATTATAATAATGCTCCTTCAAGTGACCTGTTGAATTATGATGACCCAATGGACTTTAGAGGATTTCCTTTGGCATTCTTTCCTTCAAAATAGAGCTTCCAGCTCCTGGTATGTTTGGTGGGTTTCCATCCAAGGACTAACCAAAGCACCAGATTAGCATATGCAAACATTATGCAAATGCTACCCTTTCATAGTCTCTGTCCTCTCTAAACTAGAAAAGTCTTGCGTTAAGAGATTAAGTTCATCTCATTGTGTTAAGTTCATCTCATTGCGTTAAGAGATTAAGTTCATCTCATTCATTCCCCATCCCTCTATGCATAAATGCCTTTCAAAGTGACCTGAAACTCAATGGATTTCAGAGGATTTCCTTAGTCATTCCTTCCTCTGAAATAGAGCTTCCAGTGCCTGGTATTTTTTGGTGGGTTTCCATCCAAGGACTAACCAGGGCACCAGATTAGCATATGCAAACATTATGCAAATGTTGCCTTTTTATCATCTTTATCTTCTCTCTAGACTAGAAAACTCCCTTGGGTCCTTACCTTCTCTATCCATTCAACTTGCCCCTGGAGCTGAGCATTCTCTTCTGACAGACGGACATTCTCACTCGCAACCTCTTGAAGCTGGGTTTCCTGTACAATACGTGGGGGGGAAAGGAGGAAATCAACCTCCAAAACTTCCAGTCTTTTGCGGAGAATCAAGTCCTTTATGAAAAGCATGCCCTCTTCTCCTTGGAAAGGAACTCAAAAAGCATTGAAACAAAAACATAACTCAAGCTCAAAACTTTGCAAACTCCTAGCCAGAGCAGAGAAGCAAGGCAAGGCCACACTCACGAGTTCGGCGTATCTCTTGTGCTTCTTCCTCACTTCATGCTCGAGGGTCTCGCATTGCTTCCGCTTCTTCCTCAGCTCTGATTCCTGACAGGAAATGACACCAAATGGAGGGAAGAGAGTAAAAATTCCAGACCCAGAAACTATATCTCCCCTATAGTCAGGAAAAATGCCCACAGAACATGTACTTCTCTCCTTACCCAAAGCAATGGAGGAGTCCATGTCAGCGGGGCATTTAGGGATCCACTCCAGGTTTTATAGACAGCTCTCCAAAGTGCTGAATTGAGTAATTGCCAGGGTTCAGCACCTTGGAGAGCTCCTTTGAGGCCTAGATTGAAATCTGAGGCTGAATCGATACTGCAGAATGAACTACTAGGCTCAATGCTATGGGATCCTGAGAATTATAGTTTCCAGATGCTATGGGATCTCAAGAATTATAGCTTCCAAGTGCTATAAGATCATGAGAAATATCATTTCCAAATGCTATGGGATCTCATGAATTATAGTAGTTCCTAAATTTATGGAATCCTGGGAATTGTAGTTTCCCAATGCTAAGCTGTCCTGAGAATTGGAGTTTCCCAATGCTATGGAATTCTGAGAATTGTAATTTCCCATTCTAGAATTATAGTTTCCAAATGCTATGGCATCCTGGGACTTGTAGTTTCCCAACGCTATGGGATCCTGAGAATTATAGTTTCCAAATGTTATGGGATTCCTGAGAATTGTGGTTTCCCAATGTTATGGGATTCCAAGAATTGTAGTTACCAAATGCTATGGCATCCTGGGACTTGTAGTTTCCCAACGCTATGGGATTCTGAGAATTATAGTTTTCAAATGTTATGGGATTCCTGAGAATTGTGGTTTCCCAATGTTATGGGATTCCGAGAATTGCGGTTACCAAATGCTATGGCATCCTGGGACTTGTAGTTTCCCAATGCTATGGGATCCCGAGAATTATAGTTTACAAATGTTATGGGATTCCTGAGAATTCTAGTTTCCAAATGCAATGGGATTCAGAGAAGAGCTCCTGTCTCCTGATTGAAAAGCCATTGTAAAGTTCCAACTAGAACCTGGACGGATCCCAACCAATTCCTTTGAGGAGGGGAAGAAAAGCTTGGCAAACTCACCAGTCGCTGGATTTGCTGTTTGATTTCGGGGGCTGGTGACGCCAAAACCCCTCTTTTTATGGGGAGTCGGGATTCCTCTCCATCGTTGGGCAAAGAAACAGGCTGCAAAGGGAGAAAAATGCCCACATTTTGCAAGCTACGACTTCCAAAAGGCATGAGAAAAAGGGATCTTTTGGGGGGGATTGCATATCCCATCATCCCCCTATAATCTCTATTCCTTACAGCAACAGCCCTTTGCTGGGTATTTACTGCATTTTAATGGGGGTGGAGCTATACAATAGGAGCAGACTTAAAATAATAATAAGGTATTTTACATAGAATTATGGAAAAAGTAGACCCATGCACGATCCCACTGCAAGCTGGCTTCAGAAAAGGTAAAAGTTTCCCATCACAAGTGCTGAACCTGACTCAGCACATAGAAGATGGTTTTGAAAGGCAGCAGATTACAGGCACTGTCTTCATAAACCTATCAGCAGCTTATGATACTCTAAATTATCGCCTCCTCCTGAGAAAAATGTATAATATCACAAAGGATGACCACCTCCTCCGCTTTATAGGAAATCTGCTACAAAACAGGAGCTTTTTTGTTGAATTCCAGGGCCAGAGAAGCAGATGGCGGAAACAGAAGAACGGCTTGTCTCGGGGGAGCGTGCTTGCTCCATCCATGTTCAACATTTACACAAATAGCCAGACACTTCCAGAAGGGACAAAGAGTTTCATCTATGCTGATGATCGTGCCATCACCACCCAAGCAGAGAATTTTGAAATGGTTGAACAGAAGCTCTCCAAAGCTTTAGGTACTCTTATTGCCTGTTAAAGGGGAAACCAGCTGATTCCTCATCCATCTAAAATGCATATGTGTGCTTTCCCTCTTAAGAACAGACAAGCATCTCGAGCTCTGAGGATTACCTGGAGAGGAATCCCATGGAGCATTGCAGCACACCCAAATACCCGGGAGTCACTCTGGACCGTGCTCTGACTTAGAAAAAAACTGCTTGACTATCAAGCAAAAAGTGAATACTAGAAATAATATCATACAAAAGCGGACTGGCACAACCTGGGGATTACAACCAGACATGGTGAAGACATCTGCCCTTGTGCTTTACTACTCTGATGCTGAGTACATGTGCCCAGTTCGGAACACATCTCACCATGCTAAAACAGTGGATGTGGCTCTTAATGAGACATGTCGCATTATCATGGGATGCCTATGCCCCACACTGCTGGAGAAATTACACTATTTAGCTGGTATAGCACCACCTGACATCCGCTGGGAAGTAGCAGCCAATAATAAAAGGACCAAGGCAGTGACATATCTGGCCCAGCCTCAGTTTAGATATCAGCCAGCATGCCAACACCTTAAATGAAGAAATAGCTTCCTAAGAGATACTTGCAGGAACATCTCAGCAAGCGAGAGTCCAAAAGTGGCAGGCTAAAATCCAGAACCTCAATCAGTGGCTGAGACCAGATGAGAGACTCCCTCCTGGGCACACAGAAGGCTGGGCAACTTGGAAGGCACTGAACAGGCTGCGCTCTGACACCACGAGATGCAGAGCCAACCTTAAGAAATGAGGCCACAAAGTGGAGTCCACGACATGTGAGTGCGGAGAAGAGCAAACCACAGACCACTTACTACAATGCACAATGGAGGACGTACTTAGAGAAACACCAGAGGCACTCCACGTGGCCAGCTACTGGTCAAAGGACAATTAGTATAATGCCAAGTCTTTTTAATACATTACAACCGTACCCTTGGTTCACTTCTGATACAATTAATAATAACAATAATAATAATAATAATAATAATAATAATAATAATAATAATAATAATAATATCTAGCCACCCTGGAGGCCATATTCTCCAGCCTAGGAAAGAAGGGAAAGCACTCTGCACATGCTCAGAGGCCACTGTCTTTCAACATTAGTGCCCCAAATCATCTCAGAAACCAATTCTATATGTTTTAGAATCCATTCCTTCCAGAGGCTGCATCCTCCAATGCTCCTCAATGGGAGAGAAATGGGGAAAGCACTCTGCACATGCCCAGAGGCCAATCTCTTTCATCATTAGGACCCCAAATCACATCAGAAACCAATTCTATACGATTCACAATCCAATCCTTCCAGAGTCTACAGACTCCAATGCCCTTTATTGGGAGGAAAAGGGAAAGCACTCTGTACATGCTCAGAGGCCGCTATATTTCAACATTATTATTATTATTATTATTATTGTTATTATTATTATTATTACCACCATATCTAGCCACTCTGGAGGCCACATTCTCCAGCCTAGGAAAGAGGGGAAAGCACTCTGCACATGCTTAGTGGCCGCTCTCTTTCAACATTAGGACCCCAAATCACCTCAGAAATCAATTCTATATGTTTTAGAATCCATTCCTTCCAGAGGCTACATCCTCCAATGCTCCTCACTGGGAGGGAAAAGGGAAAACACTCTGCACATGCTCAGAGGCCACTCTCTTTCAACATTATCGCCCCAAATCACCTCAGAAAACAATTCCATATGTTTTAGGATCCATTCCTTCTACAGGCTACATCCTCCAATGCTCCTCATTGGGGGGAAATGGGGAAAGCACTCTGCACATGCTCGGAGGCTGCAATCAGTTACTAGGACATAATATATTTTTGTTTGGGGGGGGTTCTTAAAAAGGAGGCTAAAAAGTGGTCCGGATAATGTACTCAACCCTCCGTTTCCCCATTTTTACCCCCTTGTTTTAAAAACACCCCTTTGGAAGACCCCAAAAGTGCAGAAACCAGCTTGGGGCCTACTGCGCCTGCGCAATCGCCCTACCTGCCTGGATTCAGCACCGCGGACAGCTCCTCGCCAAGGCGGACTGAACCATTCTGCCGCTAATAGAAGGAGAGGACTTTGGCATTCGACTTGTCCTTTTTCGCCCCCTTCTGCGAGCCAAATGGTACGTCCCGGCTATTGCAAAGCAATAGCCGGAACGTACCATTTGGCTCGCAGAAGGGGGAGGGTGGACAAATCGAATGCAAAGCAAACAGGGGGAAATCTTCACCCTCTTTCTTCCCGTTTAATCCCCTCGGAGCGTTCCCACGTGCGTTAAAAGCCTGACACGTGTCAGGCTTAAGGGCCAAAGCAGCCTGCGTGCGTGCCTATGCACACATACACCCTGGCTTGCCCGCGTTTCTTTTCAAGCCTATGGGCATTTAAACCACCTCAGCTCCCTTTTCACGTGTAGGCATGAGCTATTCACACGTTACCTTCCTTAAAGGCCATGTTCTGAAAGCCTGTTCGATTTTCTAAAAAATATTTAAGGACACTATTATTATTTAGATTTTAGGACACTATTATTATTATTATTATATTTAATTAATAATATTTTATTTTATTTAGATATTAGGACATAATAATAATAATAATAATAATAATAATAATAATAATTATTCAGATTATAGGACTTATTATTTAGATTTTAGGACACTTATTATTATTATTATTATTATTATGACACTATTTTATTTAATTTAGATATTTGGACGTTATTTTTATTATTATTAATATTCAGATTATAGGACTTATTATTTAGATTTTAGGACACTTGTTTTATTATTATTATTATTATTATTATTATTAGGACACTATTTTATTTATTTTAGATATTAGGACATTATTAGTATTCAGATTACAGGACTTATTAGGACACGTATTTTAATTATTGTTGTTATTAGGACACTATATTATTTAATTTAGATATGAGGACATTATTATTATTCTGATCATAGAATTTATTATTTAGATTTTAGGAGACTTATTTTACTTAGATTTTAATACACTTTTATTATTATTATTATTATTATTATTATTATTATTATTATTTAGAAGACTATTATTTAGATTTTAGGGCATTGTTATTATTAATAATGTTTATAATTAAAGACACTTATTTAGATTTTTCTGTGTTTTCTGTGTTTCCTCCACCACAGGCATCCCAGTGTTTCTGACTCTCTATTGTTGTGGAATTAATTTGCATGACCCCGCCCACTGCCTCTCCGTTAACCCTTTCCTATAGCACACAGCAAACGGGAATTGATCAGCAACTGAACATACTAGAGAGGTTTGGGAGAATTCACCATGGTTTATAGGAGTTGTAGGTTCTGGGATGTATAGTTCCCCTGCAATATAAGAGCACTTTCAACTCCACCAAAGATGGAATTGGACCAAATTTGGCACACAGAGCCCCATGACCAACAAAAAATACTGGAAGTCTTTGGAGGGATCGATGGGAGTTGTAGTTCACCTACATCCAGAACATACTATGGACCCAAACAAGAACGGATCTGGACCAAACTTGGCATGCATACCCGATATGTCCAAATCTGAATACTGGTGGGTTTTGAGGGGAATCGGCCTGGACACTTTGGAGTTGTAGCTACTGGGATTTATAGTTCACCTGCAATCAATGAGCACCCTGAACTCCACCAAAGATGGAATTGGACCAAACTTGGCACACAGAGCAAACCCCATGACCAGCAAAAAATACTGGATGTCTTTGGGGAAAATTCACCTTCATTTGAGGAGTTGTGGTTCACCTACATCTAGAAGGCACTGTGAACCCAAACATTGATGGATCTGGACCAAACTTGGCACACAGACCTGATACGTTGAAATTTGATTCCTAGAGGGTTTTGGGGAGAATCATTCATAGTCAATGGGTCAGGACTGTAAGGATATAAGATGAATCCGTCGTACCTTGTGGGTCGGAAGGGACCGTCTGGTTGTCCGCGAAGGAGGCAAGCCATTGGAGCAGGGTTCGACTCTCGCCCTCCGCTGCGGACCCCAAACCTTGGTGGGGCCCACCGAGATGGGTTTGTCAGCTTTTGGGCCCGCCTGACCTTTGAAACTCTTCAAGGCAATCTGCCTTTGGAGGCGCAAGACCTCCTTTTGGGATTCGCGGAGGAGCTGGTGGAAGTCCAGGAGCCGAGAAGGTTCTTCCTAAGGAGAAAGACCCACTGGGCGTTTGTCCCAATCCTTGCAATGGATATCAATAAACATGATAGAAAGGGGGGGGGGACACCTGGCTTGGAAAACGGCCTCTGGGAAAGGGATCTAGCTCAACGTGAGTCAACAGCGCGATGCGGCAGCAAAAAAGGCCAATGCATTTCGAGGCTGAATCCATAATGAATATAGTCTCTATATCCATGGAAGTCAATGACAGCAACAACAGAACAGCATGGCCATGTATCTATCTATCTATCCAGTCACCTATCCATCCATCCAATGTATCTTGATCTTTGGAGCCTCTTTCAACTCGAGGATTCTGTCCATCCATCCATCCATCCATCCATCCATCCATCCATCCATCCAGCCATCCATCCAGCCATCCAGCCATGCATACATTTATCTTACAGGAGTCAAGCCACTAGGAGATGTGGGATGATGATGATGGTGGTAACAACAAAAACCAAAACAAAATAGTATGGCCATTGGGGTCTCTTCCAACTCTAGGATCCTCAGATTCTACCTTCTTTCTTTCTTTCTTTCTTTCTTTCTTTCCATCCATCCCTACCTTTCTATCTTAGGGGGTTGTACTGGTGGACCTTGAGGTCCCTTCCAAATCTAAGATCATATCCATCCCTATCTTTCAATCTTAGGGATTGTGCTGGTGGCCCTTGAGGTCCCTTCCAACTCTAAGATTCTATCTATCTATCTATCTATCTATCTATCTATCTATCCATCCATCCATCCATCCATCCATCCATCCCTATCTTTCAATCTTAGGGGGTTGTGCTGGTGGCCCTTGAGGTCCCTTCCAACTCTAAGATTCTATCTGTCTATCATCTATCTATCTATCTATCTATCTATCTATCTATCTATCTATCCATCCATCCTTTCTATCTTAGGGGATTGTACTGGTGGCCCTTGAGGTCCCATCCAACTCTAAGATTCTATCCATCCATCCCTACCTTTCTATCTTAGGGGATTGTACTGGTGGACCTTGAGGTCCCTTCCAACTCTATCCATCCATCTCTACCTTTCTATCTTAGGAGGTTGTACTGGTGGCCCTTGAGGTCCCTTCCAACTCTAAGATTCTATCCATCCATCCATCCCTACCTTTCTATCTTAGGGGGTTGTACTGGTGGACCTTGAGGTCCCTTCCAACTCTAAGATTCTATCCATCCATCCATCCCTACCTTTCTATCTTAGGAGGTTGTCCTGGTGACCCTAAAGGTCTCTTCCAACTCTAGAATTCTATCCATCCATCTCTTTCTATGTATCTAAGGGGATTGAACAGAATGGCCTGGGGACCCTTCCAAACTTCTCCCTCTCCATCCATCCATCCATCCATCCATCTATGAACCTTAGAGAGTTGGTCTGGATGGCCTTGGGTCTCTTCCAACTCTAGGATCCTCAGATTCTACCTTCTTTCTTTCTTTCTTTCTTTCTTTCTTTCTTTCCATCCACCCACACCTACCTTTCTATCTTAGGGGGTTGTACTGGTGGCCCTTGAGGTCCCTTCCAACTCTTAAGATTCTATCCATCCATCCATCCATCCCTACCTTTCTATCTTAGAGAGTTATATTGGTGGTCCTTTTTTGGTCCCTTCCAACTCTATCTATCCATCCATCTCTACCTTTCTATCTTACAGGGTGGTACCCGTGGCCCTTGAGGTCCCTTCCAACTCTATCCCTCAATCCATCCCTAACTTTTTATCTTCGGGGGTTGTACTGGTGGCCCTTGCGGTCCCTTCCAACTCTAAGATTCTATCCATCCATTCATCCATCCATCTCTGTCTATGTATCTAAGGGGGTTGAATAGTGTGGCCCTGGGGACCCTTCCAAACTTCTCTCTCTCTCCATCCATCCATCCATCCATGATCCTTAGAGGGTTGGGCTGAATGGCCTTGGAGTCCCTTCCAAAGTTAGGGTCCTATACCTGTCCCCAATGTTGGCAAGCCCGGTGGAGGTGCCTCACCTTGTCAGCAGGGACTTTGGCCCGGAGTTCCTGGCATTCCCTCTGCAGGGCGTTGATCTGCTTGTCCTTGGCCAGGAGGACCCCTGCTTGTTCCCGGAGGTCCATCACCCGCTGCCGGGCCAAGGCTTTCTTGCAGAGGCCGGCACAGGGGCCCTTCACAGCCATCGGTGTGCTCACCTGCAACGTAGAAAACAACCATGATGACGTTGTGGTGCAGTTTGACCCCACATTCAGTGCCACGGCTCAATACTATGGGAGGTCCTGGGAGTTATAGCCTGGTAAGGCCCCAGTGTTTTGAAAGACTGTAAAACTACAGCTCCTATAGCTTTGAGCCATACTACTACTCCTACTTCTTCTTCTATTACTCCTCCTCCTCCTTCTACTACTACTTCTTCTATTACTACATCTACTGCTCCTACTAGTTCTACTACTACTAAAATTCCTTCTACTACTATTTCTTCTTCTACTACTTCAAATACTATTATTGCTACTATAACTTCTTTTACTATTTCTATTACTTCTTCTATTACTACATCTACTGTTCCTACTACTTCTATTATGACTTCTACTACTACTATTGATTCTACTACTACTTCTACTACTTCTTCTATTGCTACTGCTACTATGACCTACTACTATTTCTACTACTATTTCTTCTACCAAAAGTACTATTATTATTACGATGACTTCTTTTACTACTACGTTTATTACTACTATTAATTCTACTACTACTGCTTCTATTGCTACTGCTACTATGACTTCTACTACTTCTACTAATATTTCTTCTACTACTTCAAGTACTATTATTGCTACTATGACTTCTTTTACTGCTACTTCTCTTACTACTGATTCTACTACTACTTCTTCTAATATTTCTTCTACTACTACTTTAAGTACTATTATTGCTACTACGACTTCTTTTACTACTACTTCTACTATTTCTATTATGATTTCTACTACTACTTCAAGTACTAATATTTTTTCTATTACTTCTACTTTTACTACTTTGACTGCTACTTCTGCTATTATTATTTCTTCTGTTACTACGTCTTCTTCTACTTCTATTATTACTACCACTATTATTTATTCAAGTACTATTATTTAACAGTAAACCGCTCTGAGTCCTCTTCAGGATGAGATAGAGAGGGGTAGAAATATAGTAAATAAATAAATGATTCTACTACTTCTATTACTACTATGACTACTTCTACTACTACTATAACTACTATGACTACTTCTACTATTCCTACTTTTACTACTTCTTCTATTACTATTTCTTCTTCTTTTACTACTACTACTTCTTTTACTACTACTACTACTACTCTTTGGACCAAGTTAGCATCCAGAGATGCAAAGGGATGACGAGAGCTTCATTGCTCTTAGTTGGAAGCTCAAGGTCTTTCTTACCACTTTGAGGTTGGCCTCCTGGAGCTTCCTGGCTCGCTCTTCCAGCCGCTTTGCTATCACTGCCAGCTCCGCGTTCTTCCTCTTCAGGTGCCGTACTTTCTCCTGCGTCTCCGGGAAGCAGCTCTTGCGCTGGGAGGGCAAAACAGATCAGAGAAAAGCACGTCCTGAATATTTACGAGGCGGTTTTGCCTCAGTTTCCACCCCCAATGGGGCACCGGCCCTTCCGGTGGGGCTTGGAATCTGTGCCGGGTTTTGAAGAGGCAAAATGAACACCCACAAGAGCCAAAACCTGGAGTGGATTCCCTGGATCATGGCAATTTTTTACGGTGAGCCACTTTGAATCTCTTTTAAGAGAGGCAGTGAGATAATAATAATAATAATAATAATAATAATAATAATAATAATAATTTCAAAATACTACATAAAACCCTCTTTTAAAAGATCTTCAAAACGGCACCGCAAAGAGCTAACGGTTGGGGATGATGGGTGTTGGAGTCCTCACCAGTAAGCTGTTCTCCCGTTTCAGGTTGGCGCATCGGGACTGGAGTTCCTCCAAAGCCGTGAGAAGGACCTGGTTCTGTCGCAGGAGACAGCGGTAGCTCACTCCGGGCTGGGAAAACAAAGGCAAAGAAACCATTACAGTGGATTCCTTGGGATCAATCATCTCATTTTGGGGGATCTAATCCCACCTCTGACCTTCTGATTCACACCTTATCCGATAGGAGATGCCAGATAATGGGAGTTATAGTCTCCGAGCCCCATCACATTTTTGCTTCCATGTCAGTGGAGCGGCGAATCCACTCCAGGGTTTGATTGACTTTTGAACTGAGCTGATTAAACTCAAAGAATGAATGCAGTTTGACATACCTTCAACCCCCATAATTCCATGCTACAACATCCTGGGAGTTGTAGTCTGACAAGGTCTCTGGGTGCATCTACACTGTTGAATGGATGCAGTTTGACATATTGAACCCCTATAATGCTATGAAGCCCTGGAAGTTGTAGTTTGACAAGGTATCTGGTTGCAACTACAATGTAGATTACGTGCACTTTCACCTAGTTTGAACCCCCATAACTCAATGCTATGAAGTCCTGGGAGTTATAGTTTGACTATAGGGTCTTGGGAATTATAGTTTGACAAGGTCTCTGGTTGCGTCGACACTGTTGAATGGATGCATGTTGATCTACTCTGATCGCCCCCAACTCAATGCTATGAAGCCCTGGGAGTTGTAGTTTGACTATAGGGTCCTGGGAGTTGTAGTTTGACAAGGTCACTGGGTGCATCAACACTGTAGAATGGATGCAGATTGACCTACTTTGGACCCCCATAATTCAATGCTATGAGGTCCTGGGAGTTGTAGTTTGATTATGGAGTCCTGGGAGTTGTAGTTTGACAAAGTCTCTGGGTGCATCTACATTATATAATGGATGCAGTTTGACCTACTTTGAACCCGCATAACTCAATGCTATGGAGTCCTGGAAGTTGTAGTTTGACTACAGAGTCCTGGGAGTTGTAGTTTGACTATGGAGTCATGGGAGTTGTAGTTTGACAAGGTCTCTGGGTGCATCAACACTGTATAATGGATGCAGTTTGACCTACTTTGAACGGCCTTAACTCAATGCTATGGAGTCCTGGGTATTGCAGTTTGACAAGGTATCTGGTTGCAACTACAATGTAGATTACGTGCACTTTCACCTAGTTTGAATCCCCATAACTCAAAGCTATGGAGTCCTGGGAGTTGTAGCTTGACTATGGAGTCCTGGGAGTTGTAGCTTGACAAGGTCTCTGGGTACATCTACACTGTGGAATGGATGCTGGTTGACTTACTTTGGCCTCCCATAACTCAATGCTATGGAGCCCTGGGAGTTGTAGTTTGACTATGGAGTCCTGGGAGTTGTAGTTTGACAAGATTGCATCAACACTGCAGAATGGATGCAGTTGACCCACTTTGGACCCCCCTAACTCAATGATATGGAGCCCTAGGAGTTGGAGTTTGACTATAGGGTCCTGGGAGTTGTAGTTTGACAAGGTCTCTGTTTGCCTTATCCTAGCTGTCAGATTGAATTCCACCCCCCCCCCCAAAAAAAACCCTCTTTTCCCCGTTTCAAGGTCAGACAGACCTCATAGTCCAGGAAACTAATTAGGAGCAACGCCCGGTGAGCATGACTCAACGTGACACATCCAGACTGTAAATCTGGTGCAAAAGCCTCGGAAAGAGGAGGCCACCTTTGCAGAAGTGGAGCAGCTCCCTTTGCGGGCCTTTCGTTGCCCCGCATCCCGAATTTCCCATCCCTTTGCCCTACATACCTCACCATTTAAAAATAGGCCAAGGGCATTGGCAATGCCTCACCTGTGGAACTCACTGACACAAGATGCTGGCCGAAGATCTTTTCCTCTTCCGTCTCAATGCTAACTTTGATAGATTGATTGATAGACAGATAGATTGATAGATGGACAAACTGCATGCGTGGGGATGGATAGATAGAATATGTGTGTCAATATGGATATATAGATATACAGAATGCATATACAGAGAGGTAATGATAGAACGTGTGTGTGTGTTTATGGGTGTGTATAGATTGGTACAATGAATATATGGATAGGTAGAGGATAAAAAAGATAGAATGTGTCTGTGGTTGTATGTAGAATATGTGTGTATGGATAGATAGATAGAATGAATATATGTATATAGATGGATGGGTAGGTGAAAGAATATGTGTGGATGTTTGGGGGGAGAGGATATACATGTGATAATAGTGTGTGTGTCTGTGGGGGAGTGGATGGATGAATAGGTAGATAGGAAAATAGATAGATAGATAGATAGATAGATAGATAGATAGATAGATAGATAGATAGATAGATAGATAGATAGATAGATAGATAGATAGATAGGGATAGATAGATAGATAGATAGATAGATAGCACTATGGATGGATGGATGGATGGATGGATGGATGGATGGATGGATGGATGGATAGATAGATAGATATGGAGAGAGAGAGACAGAGGCACCTAGATGGATGATGGATGGGTGGATAGATACATAGGTAGATAGATAGATAGATAGATAGATAAGTAGATAGATAGATAGATAGATGATAGATAGATAGATAGATAGATAGATAGATGGATGGAGGAGGGATGGATGGATATAGGATAGATAGATAGATAGATAGATAGATAGATAGATAGATCGATAGATAGATAGATAGATACATAGATACATAGATGGATGGCGCAGGGTAGGGTGAAATACCAGTATAAGTTTTAAGCTGCCGTATAAGTGAGCTGGG